TGTTGCTGATGACTCTTGCTTCTGGGTGGTTATTGTGAATGGTTTGTGGTATTCCATGATTAATTATGTTTTTTATTTGGTCTGCCTCTATGGCATACCGATAGAAGTTTTTTGAAACCTATGAATATAGTAAGTTATTGACGAAACGCAGTAGTGGCAACCGAGAAAGTTAGAAGCTGGTTTCTGTCAGCAAAGTATTAATATTGAGGAGAATAAAATATTGAGGTCACCTACTTAGTAGAAATTTTTTAATTCTAAGAAACAGTTGTTTATCTGAAACTGTAGTCAGCTATTTAGTACTGTATTATAGACTGTAGGTAATGATTAATATAAAAATCCATAGCTGGAAGAAAATGTATTAACATTTCATAGGTAGTTCGTTCAAACTGAGAATTTATAGTAATATTAGTACTATGTCAATGTTTATCTGATTCGTCTAATTTCTTTGAAAAGTACTATAGATATTTTCTATTTATACTTTTATCAAATAGATATTATAATATCAAAAAACAATCAATGATCTGCTTAACTGTTTCGTCAAATTTGGGCGTTACAATTTATGAAGCCTCTGGTTCCTTTTTTAGTGAAGTAATAATAGTTATACGCAAATACAGGGTGTAAAAAAAGGCCGTTACACTGTAACAAACAATAGTTTTGGTTAAAACAAAAAACAGAGGTATCTAATATTCTTTTTCAAAACACATTAAATATGAATCACATTCTTATAGACTTCAAATTTGGTATAATATACTATTATATTATGCACCAATTATAATTAGAGACTTTGCAACTAAAATGGGTTTGATAGGTTCTGTCTATCAAAAATTAATTTGACGTCAGTGACATCGGAGGATATGTACTTATTGTTTTGACTAGTCTATTTGTAGTTATGATTTACACATTCTCGTCCAGTCTTAGACAACATATATTCTAAAACGATGACAGTATTATATGAATGACTATTCCCACAAATCAATCACAAAAAAATTATATTCTGGAATTAAAAAATTGTGTTACTTTATAATTTCGAATACCTACCTATAATAAACTTTTCGTCCATCAAGACTTATTTTTTAAATAAAGAAATTCTGATTAGTTCATGACATAAAACTCTTTTAGGTGGACAAATAAATAAATTATTTATTTTTTTTATTTTAAATAAATTTTGACTGAAGAATGATTTACTTAATTCAAGACTATGATGCGCTTAAAGGTATCATTGATTCAAAATAATGCCTTAGTTTTTAGACTGCATTCAAGAAGAACAAAGTTTTGTGTGATGTGCTTTACCCAAATTTGTCAAATAAAATTATTTCTAATATCAGATTCTTTTGGCATTCGAAACCTCTTAAGCATCTCGTAATTGTGAAACGTCTTGTTAATTACTGCTCAAAATTAACATATCTATACGTAACTACTTCACATATTACTAAATTAAGGAATTTAATGAAATTAAGGAATATCTATACCTATCGCCAACTAATATTGAACAATTGATTAAAATATTTGAAGTACGAGGTTTGTTCAGAAAATAACCGAACTTTTTCAATTTTGAATTACGCCCTAATGGATATATTTAGTGACATGCGGTTGACAGCATTGCGTTGCGCATAACCTCCTCTGTAGCCACTTATCCTTGGATTGTTATATCTCATTTAGTTTTCGTGATATTGTTATTTGAGTGTAACGTGTTTAAGTATTAGTGACGATTTTTTAAATACGCGATTTTCTGGAACAACGATGCTCTGGGTGGTATGCTATATTACGATTTTCACGATTTAAAAGCGGTCGTCAGTCAATTGAAGATGATCCTCGACCAGGAAGGCCTTCGACTTCAACTGATGACTCCCACGTTCAGAAAGTCAAAGATCTGGTGAGTGCAAATCGCCGATTGATTGTCAGATAAATTGCAGAAGAGGTTAGCATCTCAATTGCTCCTGTCATGAAATTTTGATTGAAAAATTGAATATGCATCGAGTTGCAACAAAATTTGTTCCTCATTTGGTGACCGAACAACAGAAAGAAAATTATGTGTGTTGGCAACTCCTTGAACAATACTGTGACGATGAAACATTCATTCAAAGGATCATAATGGGAGACGAAACCTGGGTTTACGGCTACGACATTGACACAAAAGTTCAATCATCACAATGGATTGGTAAATAATCTCCACGTCCCAAAAAAGCACGTCAGTTTCTATCCAATGTCAAAGTGATGCTCACTGTTTTTTTGACTTTAATAGCATTGTGCATTTTGAATTGATTTCTCAAGTTGAAACAGTGAACCGTGTGTACAATAAGGTATTTTACAACAGATACGTGAAAAAATCCGCACAGAGAATTCAGAGTTGTGATGAGACAACTCTTGGTTCTTGCACCATGATAATGCGCGCGTACACTCAGCTTTGACAAATCGTCAGTTTTGTACCAAAAATAAGATTACTGTTCTTCCTTTACTCTCCTTATTCGCCAGACCTGGTTTCCTGCGACTTTTTCTTATTTCCGAAATTAAAATCAGTGCTGAAAGGACGCCGTTTTCTTTATTGATGACATCAAAGCAAATTCGTCACAGACTTTAAAGGCCATTTCAAATGAAGCCAGCAGAACTGCTTCGCAAAATGGAAACACCGCTGGAAAAAAGTGTGTGACAATAAGGTAGGGAAGTACTTTGAAGGAGACCAGTGCCAATGATGTATAAAATTGATAATAAATTTAAAAAATAAAGTTTGGTTATTTTCTGACCTCGTATGTTTGTTTCTATTCAAAATATTCTCAGATTTAAATTATTAACTAATATTTAGCTACAGTTTACAACAAATATTCGATAATTTAATTACAATAAATAAACGTTCCATTAATGAAAATTATGGTAACTTTAATTAATTAAACATCTTCATACCTTCTATTCTATTGCCGTCACCACGGTCAGATTTTTTTCCGATAGAGATTTTTTTAATTAGACAATTATTAATTGCCCCAAAAACAATCAATGAAGGATCGTTTTTATGAAACTATCTGAAACAGCATAAATATGTTGTCAATGATATTTTCCAGGCTCTTTTTAACGCGAGCTAGTTCTCTTTTGAAATGAGAAGTTCCAGAATCCTACTGATCGAATTACAAATTAGGTATATGATGATAGTTTGCGAAAAATCCTTGAGTCACTTCAGTTATAGTTAAGATTTCGAAGATTAACTATTTTCTCTAAAACTGTAGTTTCTGTTTAAATAAATTTGATAGTTTTATTTATCTGCTGCTACAGTTATATAAATATCAATTGTTGTTAATTATTACTTTTTTTCAATATTTGCAGCCAACAAGAATCATAATTCATGGAATACGTTGCCACACATTTTCAGTGTTTAAAATCGTGGCTAAAATTTTCTTTAGCGTTATTTTTCCAAAACTTTGGATGAATTGTAAGACGGTTTTCTCGTTTAAGAAAAACCTACTCTTGTTATTTGACTGGTAGCTTCAACACAATGAAAAATTTGAAATTTGTCGAGGGGTTGAGTTCATAAATTTAATTTTGCCTAATCAGAAATCTCTCACCTTCCGGTTAACTTACAATTAAAGCACAAAAAATTTTTCGAGAGATTAACTGTACAATGTGAAAAATTGTTCTTCTCACACCTTCTCAGTGTCACAAATTTCTGATCAGGCAAAACTAAATTTATAAAATCAAACCCTTGGCGTCATTTTGGGCGCAAGTGATTATTTATTTCATTTTCTTCCTTCTTTAGTATAGTAAAAATACCATAAGAAACAAAAAGATTGAAATGCTACAAATAAATAATTACAGACAATATTTAAAATAAACCTATCTGTAAATTAAACTTTTTGTAGGTTATTTGACGTCTTTTTATTATTAGATTCCACAAACTGACCAAGTTGTATTGGTACGTGTGTAATAATAATACGAAAATTGTGACAAATCTCTTGGCTTTGTTAAATTAGGAATTTTTATTTAGGTATATTCTACAATTTGACACCTTCATTTTTAATGCAATCTGCCGTCATTAGAATAGATGTTCATTCTAAAAAATGAAAGGATTAATGGTTGATAATTGGTAAATTATTAATACAACATAAAATAGTTCGCATATATTGGGTTAAAAACTGGTAATTGTAAAAAAGGGTTTGAGGAAAATATTTATATAAAAATGTTTATCTTGCTTCTGTGTAGGTTTACACTTAACTGGTACCTATTCGGTTTATTTTTAGACGTCATCAGTAAATAACATTGTATTGATGATTTAATGAGTAAGATATAAGAGAATATCAAACGATAAGAGATACTTACGCCCCTCCAAGCAATTTTAGTAGCGCGCGTCGGCAACTACCACGACGCTCTGCGTCCCTATGTATATTTAACAGCGCATGGGGGCCACGCGGTATCACTACATTCTTGTCTGTCTTCGGTAATCTGTTATTATCGAAACCAAGTATAAATACTGTTATTTGTGTTCCTTAAGGAAATATTTTTCGTTTCGAAATAAAAAAAGTTCTGTCTGGTGCCGCGGATTAGCATAATAAAATTATCTTAATAATATCGTAATTTTGTTCGCTGGGCTCAGTGGTGATTTTAAAATTGGAATGCATTCAAGAATCAAGAATTTTTTGTAATTTTTACCTGGTAATTGCCAGACAGGTCGTCACGCTAACATAAAGCCCGCCTCTTATGACCGGAGCCGGCCCACAGTGCTCGTTGCGTCGCCTGCCATTGGCGTTACGTCTCACCACGTGACCACCCATCATCCTCCTCAATGAGAAAGAAACAAAAACAACCGTCACTAACAGTAACTACGAACACACACGTAACAATCGTTTCCTATTTCTCGTGGAGTATCGCTTAAATTTCGCGGCATCCCTCATTGAAATCATCCGGTTCCCGCGAAGTGATCCCTCAGGACTCAGTGCTCGCAAGTGTTTCTGTCTAACTGGATTATGATAGTGCGTTACTATGTTCAGTGAGTACAAAAAAACTTCCGTTTGTGGTCAATGAGAATCAAGCACCACATCCGGATGCCGACGGGACACCTGGAAGAAGACGAGTTCGTTGCGGTAAAGACGAGATCTAACACCCCCGAAGGCGCTGCGGCCGGCGGCAGCGGCTCCTTTTGGTTGTCCGCCGTGTCGGCCGCGGCCTCAGCGGCGTCTCACCCCGGTCACCCCCTGGAGGGATGTAACGAGACAGGGTTCATCAACAGCCAGCCTTCGATGGCAGAGTTCATGACGGCATTGCCCCATATTTCGGGGGAAATGCCCCACGGACCTCCCATGAGCCCCCAGCATACTCCTCCAGGAAGCGGCTTCCCCATGGATGTGCCTCACGGGATGGGCTCTCCCGGTGTAAACGTGCCGGAATACCCCTGGATGAAAGAGAAGAAAACCACAAGAAAGAACAGTCAACAAGGTAATTGAATAAGTATTTTTTTAATATAAAAATTATTTCGAAATATTTTAATATTACGATCCAAAAGAACTAGCAATACTTATATGTCCTACCTATGCCGCCGAGTTTAACAGATAGGTAACCAATAGAAAAACCTATTGAAATAAAAATATTTTTAGGTAGCACCCTTAAACAAATTTATACAATCGCTCAATAAATGTTTGGATCATGTTGGTCTATTTAACTATTATAGCACAGCAAGTTTTTAATGAGAAAAGCAGTTTTCATTAGTAGAAAAAGTTTGATAAAATACATTATTTTTTAATTTCTATGCAAGTAATTACACATCAGCTTGTCTATAGAGCTTAACTTCATCTGGCCAGAGTTTGAAACTGTTATTATAATTAAGTTGAATTAGTTTGAAATCTTTAAAAGAAACGTAAAAGTACCAAGGCTGATAATAGCAAAGATGAAGTTATAATTTAAAAATAATGAAACTTTTAAAAAAAATTTTCAATCATATCAAATCAAGTAAATATCAATATAGTGGCCAATATATCATATAGTGTAATTCATTTGATCAACAGAGTTTTTTAAAAACATATTTTGACATGATAATTATAAAATTAATTAACAATTTTTACACGTATCTATTATTTTTGTTAAAGTTAATATACGATATAAAAATAGAAGTAAATAAATTAATCTTCTCGTATATCTACCTACCTATTGTTCCAATGACAGGAGCAATCTTAAGGTTAAAAACCTCAATAACTATTAGAATAATTAGCACAGTTTGATATTATTCTTTTCTCGTGTACAGGTACTCAATGAGAAGAAAAAATAAACAATTAAATAATCATTTATTTTACATAAAATCTACAACAGGTCTCTTTAATATAAATGAACTAAAATTTATGTACGATCCTAAAACACATTCTTGGGACATCTTAGATTAAAAACCTTTTAACTGTGAATTATACAAAAATGTATTTATATTTCTCTTGTAAATGGCAAACAGGTACATAGTAATTACAGTGAACGTTAATTTTGACATTATTTTTATATTTTTCAATGCAAAATTAATTGACAGGAATATAAGTACATACCTATATATTATTAGCACTGAATACTTTTAATTTATTTGTTACCTATCCATAAATTTAATAGTTTACCTGTGTTTTATAATTCTACCCAAAATCAAACATTATATGGGATTTTATTTATGTTAAGTCAGTATGAAAACCTTACTTGAGAGTAAATAATAATTTGATTTAATAATAACGGCAGTAATATTATTTAATGAATGATATATTGGTTTTGATAAAAATTAATCGTTTGGCCATTCTAATTTTAATTACCTAATACTTTATTTTAAGTTTGACACGAGGTAATAATGTATTTTTTACTTTATTTTAAATTTCAAATAACTTCAAAAAAGTTTCGTAAAAATCCTATCAAGTTAAATTAAACAATGTTCTTTCTTTCCAAAAATCTATGTATACAAATAATATTTAAACTTATAGACAACATTATTGGTGATGATATTGCAGGAAACAACTACTCTATTAGTTACGAATCTGGTAAGTTAGATAAATTTTGCATACTTAGATTTTCGGCCGGGGTAATTTTTTTGAATGTATTTGAATTAGCCTAACAGCTTTAAAATAAAGTGAAAAATACAAGAGAAGATAAAAGATATATTTTTAAAACAGTATTATACATATAAATTGTTTCTTTCCAAAGAAAGAAACAATCTAAAGATCTAGATGAAAATATGATTATCTTTTTCTTTAATCTAGATGTCATGCACATCAGTGGTATTTCATCTCAGTTGAAATATATGTTCATCTTTTTTTCTAAAAAGCGTGTACAGATATATGATTGAACAAGCCCTGTTTATGTTCTGGAAAAAGATAAAATTTAAAATTTCATTTAACCGATCAATAATGCCTCAAAATGTGGTTTTTCTCACTAATCAATATCTTTTCTACAAAAGATTCAACAAAATGTGCTCTTAATAAAAGTTGTTTATAATTTTGTTTAAGTAACTACTTATCAATAGTCGGAATATTGTTTTCCCAGGTAATCAATTGCAGACGCTGAAATATTGCTTTTTTTATTCCGATTAACTTTTTTTAGTAACACTTTAATGTGCCTACATATTTCTCATAAAAAGGACACTTTAAAAGAATGAAAATTGACAATTATTTTAATTTTCAATGTATACTTACATACATAATTATACAATTTTTCGGAAGAAAAATTTTGCACATATTAATTTCTAATTGAGCAAGGCTAAAACTCTAAAGCGTAGGAAGTAGTTTAACGATATAAGTAATATTAATAAGTATGTATACCTAATAATTGTGATATACCTATTTTATCTCCGAATTAATTTTTTCCATGGATTACAGCAATTTTCTTAATAGCGTTTTCATTCCACATATTTTTTCTCTGAAAACCAGCTGATACTAGATGAGTATCATTATAGTAAAGACGCACCGAAGCTATAAATACAAATATTATGACATAGCTATTAGATATTAAACTTTATATAAATAGTAAATGTACCTACTTCATTCAACAAGCACTATACATTTTTCTTGTGAACGTTTATGTTTAGATTTAAAAATCAGTAGATACTAATAACAAATTGTATTGAAAAAGTTAAAGGATTTAAGATCTATTGACAAATTTCTCCTATTGGGTAGAAATAAAAATAAAACATTATTTTTTGCCTGAAGAGTTTATTAACTACAATATTTAATTTCAACATGCCAATTGATATTGTTTTGCTGTTCAGATGGAATTAAAGAGAACTGAAAATATTTTATCATTGTTATATTAATAAATGTACTATTGGAAGTAGTGAGGAAACCTCCAGCTGCGTGCAGATATGTCAACGCCTACAGCAGCATTGCATGTTTAAAAGCAATAATGTTTTAATGTCCTTCTGCAATATGATACAAACGCAACTGTCGGAAACATCACGAACAGTTTTTGTACGCATTAGGAAAGTAATTTTTTAAAAGTATTAAACAATAACAGTTACTTTAAGTGCTTCTCTGTATTTTTACAAATGCTCTATGACTCTTCAAGGCCTACTGCGTCAGTAGTCAGCAAATGGAAAATTCGGACTAAATTGATTTTCTCCCAACAACTATAGGTACTGTAAAACAAATATGCCACTAGTTTTATTAGTGTTTACTACTGTTAAAATTCCTGTTTGCCTTTAAGAACTTTGTTAAAATTTAAAACAAATTAATTATTTATCTACAAATACGATTTGATATTTGCACATTCTCTATCCACAAAATTATTATTTCTCTCGGTATTATTTCCCAAAATGAGTATACCTAAAAATAATTTAATGTTAGAATATCTATTCCTGATTAACTTATTAACACTAACTCTTCTTTGTACCTGATAAATGAACGTGCTTGATCAATATGTGATCCCCTAACTATTTTTAATTCCCACGGCTTTGCTTCGCAAGAAGTTTGTCTTGTCTTTACTGATTCCTTTGTCTTTGCATATCACTATAATTATTTCTCAGTCTAGATATGTTTTTGTTACTCTTCCTAATGACCAAATTTCCACGAACTGTTCTGTTCTTTTCTGTAAGCATACACTTCAACTCATTAATTCTAAAATAGATATGTTCGTACTACTTCCCTCATTCAATTTACCTGAGAATATCCATTCTGTTGCTTTCAAAAATTTCAATATACTAAATATTTCAGTAAAAGAAGTTTTCAAAACTCCATCCATGGGTATTTGAATGATCTTGGTACGATTTTACTTATGTTTGGTACGCTGCTCAGATTTAGTGGAGGGGCTTTTGTAAATCAATTTTGTTCTATTGGTCATTATTGCATAGCATTTTTAGCAGCTGTGGCCATCTTTCCCGGCATCGAACATATTTTCCACTGTATTAAGGGAAATCGTTATAGTTCTGAATAATATTAAAATATAATGCTTGTTTGACAATAAGTAATTTTCCACAGTTGCCAGACACATTTCAAAAGTGAGAAGTGGTGATGAACCCTTCCTCTTACAATTGGGACACTCAAATCAGTTTATTTTTTCTTCTATTTGCTTTAAATTTTCAAATATTTCTTCTACTCTAATCTAGCCGTTTGTTTCAGCATACATATTGTACATTAATGCAGTGTACACATTGTCGTTTTCTTTTTGTAGCTTTTTCCATAAAATTTGAAAAAATGTTCAGATCCATTCCAAGCGTGAACATATCTACCTACTGTTACACAGAAATTTATTTAAACACCACGGAACATATTTAAGCAGAGATAGAGTTGCTGTGACATCTAATACAAGAATTGTAGCGCTGGGGCATGTTACCAGCCAATATTTAATCCCAATTTCGTATATGGTCCTAAGTTACGCAAAATTTGGAAATGACACGTGTATAGTTCTGTGGATTAGTGCATAACGATTGGTAAATATTTATCTAATGACCCAGAACTATTTAGGCACTATTAAACTGCTAGTCATTAGACATTAGACACTGCCTACTACTATTCATTAATAAAATGAAGGTAGATTAGATCGGCGGTTACTCATTCGAAGGGAGGGAGATGAACTAAGAAACATTCCGGGGAGCCGCCAATAAATAAACCAATAAAGTTAACAAATGGTGTGTTATCAAGACGTTTAGCGGGAGGCAATTGACAAGGCATTAACGACGTACTTACAATGTTGCGGAAGACGGAGTGGCCAGGCGGGCAGTGGCTCACCAGAATGATCTGTAAATGGAGTGTCGGGTGTCGAGCGCGGCCATAACTCATTCCGCCGTCGGGACGCCCGTACTCCGTCGTGTTAACGGGCTCTCCTGCTGGCACGAGGGGTCTCCCGCTGGGTACCGCAGGTCCCATCGCGATGTTTAGTAGTGTTACAGGGTCAGCGAGGGTACACGGAGAAAACTGTATCCATTCCTAGTCATAGGATCAACTCGGGGCAGATGGATCACCTTTAAATTTTAATTACATAAAAAGGTGCATCAAAA